TAGGGTAAATTAAACTCAATTGTGATTAAATAGTTAAATATATTGTTATTTGTTAATTCTTGTCTGTGCTATTATGTAGGAATGATGCAAATTCCATCCCTACTATCTTATTTGCATTGTTTTTTTGAAGGATTGATATTAGCCATCCCTACATTTACTTCCTGTTTTGAAAAGTTTTCTTTTGTTTTTTTTAATGCAGTGTTTCAATAGACATAGGAATTATGTATTTATAACCAAGTTCTAAACACAGTATAATATAATAAAAACAATATAATATTGTTTATCTATTATTGGCTAGTAATTCCTGTTTCACCCTGTACTTCAGCTTTTTAAAGGAACACAAATTTCTGTAAGAAAGCTAACTTCAAGGGGTAATGATAACGTCGTATACACTAGAATTATGTTATATTTAATTACTACTAGTTATTAATAATACTTACAAAAGCAGATACTCCATTTGAAACTATGTTACCTCAGTGAAATTGGTTGATACCATTGTTTTGGTTTTTGAGTTATCATGTAATAAAAAAGAAACAGAAGAAAGAACAAGAAATTTAAAGTTTTTGCTCTGATATTTACAGACATTACCATTTCAATGAACAATCCAAGCCATCCCTACATAGGAAATGTTATTGCCTGTCTGATAAAATTTTGTGAGCTTTTGTTAGATTTCATTAAAAGGAAATGGCACAACATACATATAACAAATAGAAGGTCAATAACTATTCAAGTGACAGAAAATTACTTCTTTCTCCCTTTTCCCTCTTCACATGTGTGTGTGTGTGTGTGTTACCATAAAAATTGAAATTATGACTTATAATTGTTCATAATACTCTCATAGTTTGTAAGTAATGGATCTGTTTACAACATAAACAAGTTTACTTGAAAGTTTCGATATACTGAAACTTTTTAATGAAAAGGTTGAACAAAAATAGTTTTGTAAACTTCTTTCAGAAAGGTAGGAGAATGTGGTTTTTTGTTACATTCATTAGGCCAATGTCATTCACATTCAAAGCAAAGTTATGTCCACAATATAATTTGCTTACATTTAGTTGATTTCAAAGCTTGAAGAAAATGAAGTTAAAAATTGTTGTCTAAGTACCACAATAATAACTTGTCACAGAAAGAGAATTTAATTCTTGAATATAATTTTATAATAATTTAAAGACAACAGGGATCCTGTCGGTCCTTCTAGGCCATTTCATTCACTAAACACTGAAATGAAAATAAAACACCCAAAGCCAGCCCTTATCATTCAAATATTTATCAAGCATTCGCTTTAACTCCCTTAAATTAACTACATTCACCACATCTGAAGGTAACTCATTCCAAAGGCCAACCACCCTGTTAGAAAAATAAAGCTGTCTTAGCTGAAAATGACTCCAACCCTGCAAAAATTTATATTTGTCCCCTAGTCCTATCATTTCCATCATTAAGTTCAACAACAAAAAAGATATATCAAAATAATCAATTCCCTTAATAATCTAAATACCTCAATCAGATCCTCTCTTAACTCTTTTTTTTTTCAAGAAAAAACTATTCCAAAAAGATCTTAACATATCCTCGTATAACCTTTCCGTCCCAGGTATTATTTTAGTAACTTTTCACTGAACCCTCTTTAACAATTCAACGTCCTTCCTAACATAAGGAGCCTAAGACTGAACACAAATGAACAATCTTAAGTATAAAGGAAGATATTAAAAAAATTGCAATACTAGAGTAAACAAATCAACAAACAAAACAAAAACTGATAAAACCTAATAATAGTTTCCTGAGCAAATAATCCATTAAAGCTGAGGACCTATCTCAATTAGTGGCTTATCTTAACCAAAACATTACATACAGGTATGAGAATATATCTGCTAATTTGAAAAAGTATTATTGATTAACACTGCAAAATCAGCAGGAGGTGGGACTTTCATCATTACTTGAAATTTACAATTCAACAACACCACTGACTGAAAAAGTGGCCAACCCTCTCACTATGTTCACAAGTTGCGTATATAGAAATATTAAATATATACACACTGTTATGCACTTAAACAACATTTATTTCACTATTCCTCTTACACTGAAATATCACAATCACTTAGATATAAATTGCTAATTTATATCATTGCAATTATTACAGATTTCACACAGTATTCCATTCAACCACTTAAATGTCAATAATTGACTATTACAGAAATAATTTCTCAAGAGGCACTGTTAGTGGACTGCACTTGTGTAGGAAGTTTCCAATGATGTTTTGGTCTACTGGCATAGGCCTTCATCTGTACCTGCACTAGCAGCTTAAAACATTGTCCATACCTCCTACACACATACAATCCATTAATAACACCTTTCAAGTATACTCTCCCTGTATAAACTTTTTCTCAAGCAAGTGATTTCTCAACATTGTGAAATGGCATCTCCAAAAGAATCAATGTTGAACAATAAATTTCAAATGTTTCATTTGACTGTAAATTACAAAGTAGATTCATCAAGTTCAGATTAGTAGTTTACCAAACACCCAAAAACTTTGTGATTGTGAACAAGTTTAACAAGTGGTATGTAGTTATGGTTAAATACTGGCTTAATATCTTTCTTTAGATTATTACACTTACAGAAACAAATGTTAATTTTAAATTTCATAAGAAACGATAGTTTTTTTTTTTGTTTTTTTTTAGTATACGTCTACACTGGATAAGCTACAGTATTAGTTAGTACTGACTCTGTACTTCTTTTATTTTATAACTGAATTTAAAAATAAACATTTTTTT